ACAACATCAACATCGCAAGCAGTATAGTTGAGGCAGGGTTTTGTTGTAAGCGGATTAAATTGCATTTTCGTTTGGGCGACAGCGCGCCACTACATAAAGCAATGTTGTCTTCATACAAATCAAATGAGCTGGACAACGGATCTTTGTCTCACCCATCATACTTGCTAAACATCTCACCAGCTGACTAATTTTACTTTGAGCATCTCGACAAATTCTCTCCTCGCCAAATCAAAAAAAAAACCTAAAGAGAATCAGATTTAAAGGATTTCGTCGAAATTCGGGGATCCTGAGTTATCGCAGACAAGTTGCGACAGCAACGATAGCACATTCTTTCGGAGCTCTAGTGGCAAAATGGCAAACTGTATTCTGAGCTGAAATACTAATTTCACTGACGAGAGGAGATCTGGATGTACTTTTTAATCCGCTAATTAGCACATGAGCTGATGCGATAATAAATGGTAGAGCAAATATTCTATGAATGGACCATTTTAATCCACTTACTTTTTGGTAATTACAATCAATTCCCTGTTCTTTCGCTTAGTACTCACCTTAAATAATGAGTTGTTGCTACACTTCACTTTAAAAACCATCCGAGATGAGCCAGCGTTGGTCAGAACATGCTTTGATGCACCGCCGAATTCTATACAAATGCAATATTTAGAAGCGGCACAGCATAACTACAGTACTGGACAAACCGATGAATTCAGCAAACGGTGGATAAACGTGCAGCTCCAGTGCTGGTGGTGGTAGAGGTGCTTCTCTAAAAAAATTTAATAAAATGAGCTAAGCTCAACTTTTGAATGACAGATGTGAGGGTGACGTACGAACTACAGGAGTTTACATCCATGATATACAGCAGCGGCTGTGTGTTGAAAGGAAGCAGCGCTATGATTGCCGCGCGATGTCTGTACGCGATTTCGCGAGCGAGATGTAGATGACAAATTGCTGCACTTTTTGCGAAAACCATGAGGAAAATTGCGGAAATCTAAGGGACAAATGAGGTGTTCAACAGAAAATGATGATTGGATTTGACAAATGAAAAAGGCTGGTGAGAATTTGCACCAGGACTATAATTGGATCATAAGCAAGGGCATTTCAGGTGAAAAAAGAAGATTTATAGTGTTAAGAAATCCTGCATTCACACCTTTTTAATTCGAATTTAATTTGACAGCTATCCGTGAAGGGTAGTAAGCACTTACGAATATGCGTCATTTACTGCTCATTGTTGGTTTTTGCACGAGCATCATTTCAACTTACCCCGACATATGGGAAATGTAATGTACTTGAAAAATCTAAACATTTCATGACGTTTCAAAGCATATAGTACAAAAGTTTTACAAACTCCTCTTTCCTGCTTGAATTCTGCCTAAAATAAAACTTCCAGTGCTATATCAAAATGCAAGATTTCATTCAAATAGCCAAAGAAGTTAACTAAGAATCTAAAATAGTAGCAAAAGTTGAGGTTTTGAGTGAAGGCTATCAGAGTTCACCAGTACTAGCGATGTGCATTAACTCAGCAGCAGACACGTTGTTAAGCCTCGGAAATGAAGAAGGAATACAGTGTGAGAAAAAATCGAAATGACGAAAATCGAAGCGTTATGTACTTTCTAGGAAAAAGAATAATTGAAGTGAAAGGATTTATCAATGATTTTTTATAACTTTATTACAACTATAGTATCGATAGTTTTACTAGTAGACGACCTAAACTGCAAAACACATTTAAAAAAGTTTCTGATTGACCAAAAAAACCTATTCGGTGAACCCATTCGCAAAAGACGACGATCCATTTTTGAATGGACTATGAGTAGGCAGAATCTGCTAATTATTGAGAAGGCTGTTTTATTGATGGACATCACTAATGATCAAGTTCTGAGGCTCGAGCCTACCCTGTCACTGCTTCATCTTTTGCTTGAGAACATGGCGCTAAATGAAGGACAAAGAAATCTGCGATTAATTTGTAAAACTATCGAAACTCAAAATCATACTTTTCAAATAAGGTGAAAATTTAGTAGCAGTTCATGATAGTTTCTCTACGTCGCGGAATCCGTATTCTATGTCTTAAGATGTTCTAATCAACCCTCGAAAAACACTGAACGCCAAACCAAGCAATCCAAAGCTATTCTGGGAATTACCTCTAACTCTTAAACAGCACGTGATGGACTTAAATTTTACGCGAAGAACGTTAATCAGAGAAGACAATCTTTAAACAGGCTTACTTGGGTGGGTAGGCAAAGAACTCCATTGGATCGACTTGACAGAAGCGTTTTATCGACTTGTCCATGGCGTTACACGAATCTGATTTGCTGCTCTGAATAGCCTGAAATTATGAGGATCTCTGGTCTGATGGATTAGGGGACAACATGCCGAAGTTAGCGGATAACCAATAAATGAGGCCAAATCATATATTTTATAAATGAGCCTTTAACGTCGAAAATAGAATAGAGAGGTCAACAAAATACAACAAGGGGTTCGGCGTGAAGTATGCAAGTGGTAGCGGAAAAACTTCGGGAGTCTTAAAATTGTGCATGTTATTACGAAGCATCTTAAAGTCCCTTTGAGATATACGAAAAATAAGTTTATGTTGGCTTATTCTAGGATTAATACCGACCGGCATTAAGAACTTTACATAGAAATTATTTAGATCGATTTCTTGGGAAGTGGCACAAAGGAACCCGGTCAAAGGAACACTGACATGTTCTCTAGAAAAAAGAATTAAGAACTTTTTTTTTCAAAAAAAAAACCTGAGAGAGATTTACGTAAAGATGGCATAGATTCTCCCAAACAAACGCATTATACTTAAAAGGTTATAAAAGTTGTTTTAGAGCAATAAATTTGGAGGAAAAGAAATGACGAAAACTC